TATCACATCATTGTTGTCGTCATTTTTTAACAAGTGTTCCAAAGTTCGTGTCTACATGCAAGACTATAACTACTCATGTACAATTTGTTGCATTCCTCTTTTACATCGATGACAGGTAATGTGGTTAGTTTCTTTTAGAACTTCTTTTTGGCTGCTGAATGAAATTATGTCATTGGATTTAGATGCGTACATTGAATTTCGGATTTTCTCATACAATGTTTGAGAAAATCATGTCGCACCAGAGACAAGGGGTGGATGTCGCGCTCACGCAGATAAACAATGCATTCCGTCTATTTCTGACAAAATACAAATGGTATAATTTGGTACATTAAGAATACTAAAGCGTTTTCTTGAAGAAAGCGTGCACGCTTTCAACCTTAAATGATGATTTCTGTCCGAATACAAAACACCAGTCATACACGCGGCAACAGCTTTTTCTTGTAGGGATCTAGCCTTCTATTATGAACATTCTGAGTGCAGTCATTTAGCATATATACCTTCATTTATATCCGGCTAACTTCAAATAATTACGGATGCTCACGTTTCGCGTACTAAATCGTCTAATTTTGTAAAAAGAAAAAACCTTCACTGATTTAATCCTGAAGCCTCAGCTGTGAGGAGTATCTCATATGACAAGCCTTGACGTTAAATTGAATGTTCCAGCAACACAAGAGGTAGTGTGAAGTAGGAATTATCTTGCGCAGGCCTTCATAAGCTCCTCATCCGCATCGATGACAAAAACATGGGCTTTTCAACAATCGCATGTTCGACGTGTTCCCAAAATTTATTGTAGATATTCATCAGTAGCTTTTTTAATTAAGCAATAGCCGAGGGTGTATGTCACATTAGTTTTGTGGAGCAAATTACGTAAAGCATTCCTTCCCCATGAATATTAGCGCAATAAGTTTCATCAATTTGAACATTCGAGTACGCTGTTCTTGTTGCAGCAGTTTCGAGACACCCTTGAGGATTATGAGAAGGTGAGTCGTGTTTCTATTCTCATTCTGTCTTATTCGAAAAATAGCATCGTTCTTGATCATATCCACACATGCGATTCCATACATGTCCTTTGTAAACCTGCCTTTTTTACATCAATAATTCTGACGATGGCTCTGTATATCTTTGCGATCAGCTTACATGTACCTTTGTAGGTTTCATGACGGATTTCCAGTTTTGCGGTGGTGCTACATCTTACGTGCACGAGATTCTGAATGAATACATCTTGCTCCTCTGTACATCACATTGCTAGCGAGTTTCTTGTAATGTCCGACGTTGATGCGTGATTGTGGATTCCTGAAGCCAAGAGAACGATATAATATTTTTCTTATTAAACTCGAACTGTAGGCAAACACTATTCAACCTGCCACGTGACTTCATACGTCGAAATTCCGAGACTTCCACATCGGGAATGCCAGCGTATGCGCAGACGCAGTCGTATCGCTCCATACATTGTTACAAATTTCGTCACTGACGGCACCCTCTGGATACTTTTCATGCGTTTTTCTTGTGGTCATAACAAATAAAACACACCGGTGCATTTCGTCACGAAGATTCCACAGGCGATCTATATCGTTGTATATTTAAATTGGTGAGAAGATAAGTGCTGCGCGGTTGTAGGTGCCACTGCATCAATTTGCGCTAAAACCTCCGCTAAAGCCACATTAGTGGATTTAATATCCTCTATTTTACATCCTTATCAATCAAATTGTCATCAAGTCCCTCTGATGTGCCATTGTTTCACTCATTAGCAAACTTTCTAATCACTTTTTCATATCAATCGAATCACCAACATCAAATTACATTTCAATGCCGTCGTCGGTGTTAAAAAAACTTCTCTCCATCGGTCAAATTCACGATGCTAGCGGCAAAAGAAATGCTCGCAAGGTCTTGTAGGTCTTAAAATGGTGTTGCAAGTTGTGGTGGCGTCACCGTTGACTCCACACCGAAATGAATGTTGCGAATGCATGTTATAAAGAAAGCACTCATGTATTAAGAGTATGCTATTCACAGCTAGCAGTAGAACTCGAACAAAAATTCGGACCCTTTAGTGCCCCCTTATGTCGGAGTTGCAACAATGCGGTGCAAAAATATAAGCGTGAAGTATCTAGCACGGCTTGCCTATGATGACCCACATATAGACACTTTAGAAGCTCCACAGCTTAATTTTTAGACAGGTTGGTGGCCAATTTTGAAAACGTTACATCAAACAAAAGTCTGAACAATGATTTTCATTTCATTTTTTTGGACCGTAACGATCGGCTTGATGCATCATTTCGAATTGAAGCAGCCGTATAGTGGAAATGCGTACAGTAATTGTGATCAAGAAAGCATTGTATAGCCGGTGAAGGGGCAGCGGACTGACCGACAGGCTATTTAGTGAAACGCGATTACAGATTCAGCGCATCCGCCCACGCTCACCTAGATTAATTTTCATGATTCATCATTAGATTTGTACTCGACAAATAAACCTCTTACGCCGCAATAAATAAAGTAAAACGGTAACCAACCCAGGTTCTAGATAACCACCCATCACTCCAATCATTACATTAATAAATGTACCTTTGATGTTATTGGTGGGCCATAATAAAACTCCAAATTGCTAAATACTGGCTGCCAATCGCATCCCAAAAGCAATGTATCTGCTTGTTTCGTTCACTTTGCAGAAGGCCAAGACTATTGCTGCTCGATGAAGGCACAAGCGCTTTGGATCCTGAGACTAAGGCATCAACTTTGTCTGCTCTTCAGCGCCACTCGGGCGAGATGTATTGCAGAAGGACCGCAGCTGGCAAAAGGTACATTGACGACATTAGTACCTGGCACCATCAAATTCACTTGGTACATAATACATCGACACAAGGGTTACGTGACAGCTACTAGGGCCCCCCGCATCTCTAGTGCTCGACAAAAGAAACCAGTGAAAGGGGGAAGAGAGGAAGTGTTTCATATTAGTGATTAGTATTTTCAGTTAGCCTGTAACTTCCTTAGTTTACGTTTTGCATCAAAGTACTCAATTACTGCGTCAACGACAGTATAAAATTACAATTGTGTTAAAGGAACCCCCGGCGTGTGTAAAATTCGATAGCGGACACGTCGTTATCCTGAGATTGAGATGCACATGACGATCATCCCGGTTGCACACCGCTTGTCCACGTTTCTAAATTCTGACTAAAACTAGTACTTTATTCAGGCGTGTTGAAGAAGAGGGCTGACACGATGATTCGGTACATCAAGGTAGTCTGTTTTACGAGATGGTCCACAAGGTGGATAAACCATAAGAGGACGAAGCCGCTGTTCTCATGGAAAAGATTGGCATGGTTCCATGGCCAAGGGTCGTGGTCGTGCCTCCGCGTTACGTAGGAACACGGACGCGATCAGCAATACCGGAGAGAAACTGAAGCAGTTGCACGAGAGTGCGCTGACATTGCAGCAATTTTACCTCGACTATGAGTTCGCGCGTGGCGCATGAAGTTGGCGACAATCATCATCAAGCCGGCACGACTTCATGGTACCGCTATGTTAACTTCAATTCTTTACGTTATCGTGAAGCAATGAAGATAGCGTAGCAGCACGCTGCTCAAGAAACAACAGTGTGGAGTGTGGTCAGTGGTATCCTAGCCATGACAACCGGGGTGCGGTAGCGTTAGCAGCCAGCGAGGAAGATGCAACAAGTACTTTGTGCTGTAGCCAGAATCGTCTAGTTTTCGGTTTATGTTGAAGCAGCTAATGACGCCGTGATGTGGCGTCAACGTTTTTCCGTTTACATACAGGTTCGCTGGATAACTGCCACAAGACCAACCTATTCCAGAATCGCTCGCACAATATTCGCATTTGGCCGAGCCAAAACTCGGTCAAATGGAAGAAGCTGAACAATAAATTACCACCCGTCGCCGACTAAAAGACATGCATAAAATATTCAGATTTAGTATTTTGTCATTTGTAAATGAGACTGTAAATTACTTCTGAGACCGGTGATATTCTCAATCCTACCAATCAGAAGGCGTAAATCGAGTAATTTACGGTAATATATGGGAGTGGTGGGTGGTTTACGAAAACCTGGGTGATGGTTAGCGAAAACCTGGGTGGTTGACGTTTCCCTTACTAAAGTTATAACCAATTTTAATGTTGAATAATAATAGTTTGCGACGTCGCGCCCACCCACGCCAACCCACCCATTTTCGGTCGCACCCATGACCATAAAAACATGTGCGTACGTTGCCGTGGGCGTGGGCGCCCAATTGAAGCCCTGCATACCAGTACACAATTAGCGTGCTGGACTAAAATGCCTCCATGCGATGTGTTATCTTTTCTACGTCGTCCTAAATTAAAGTGTGCTATGTCGTGGCTCAAACTCAATTCTTACAATTAAGTTTGTTTACTTACGAATCGAATTGACATGCATTTGGTTTGTCTCGATGCTTCCGTATAAGCAGACTACACGAAGAAGTAACTACTGCACAGGTCGGTCAGCCTGTAGAACATAGCTGTTGTGAGCAGCAGGGGCCGGGACAGATCGAGTAAGGATCCAGTACTTCCTTGGCTTTAAAGTGTTTTAAAGCTAATTTGACCGGATCTCGATCACCCATGTCGTGCCTCTGGAAGCTGCACTGGATATCTAAATCGGCATCTGGACCAAGTGCAATTGTTTCTTCGAAATTTCAAAGCATAGACACGACTCTAAACAAACACGATACATTTATAGTCCAGGGTGTGATGGTGACTAACAGGCACTCGCCCACAGAAGCAATACTTTACCAGTCGGTCGTTGTTGATGTCACACTGAGCTACGTCACGATGCGTAAGCTGCATACGTTCTTTGTATCCCTCACTCTTCACCTCACGTAACATGCAAGCCTGTACCTGCTGCTTGGGGCCAATTTTTCACAACCCGTTCTCAAATTCATCTCAATCGTCCTTCTTATGCTTCCAGTGCACGTTCAATGTCGTAAGACTGGTCTGCATGGAAACAGCATTGCTGAACATCTGAGATTCCGTACACCAGTCTATTCGTCTTTCTTGAACATTTTCTTGAACATGCCTCCAATTCGCGATTTGCGGTGACTTTCGTCCGCGGAGAGGCTGCTGCGGTTGAGGCTTCCGCGACCAGGAGGACTTATACCCTCCAAGTGCGGTGGGGGCACTGATTCATTCATGATCGTATCGAGGGTAGCGCGGCGCTCCGTGCGAGACATGTTCGAGCTATGAGAAGTCGACAGAGGCACGGACCCGATCGCAGTTGTCGTCTCTGATCGATTTTCACGATTTTCACTCACCTTAGCCACATTGCTGGCAACACTGTGGACACGCAACGCAACTTAGCTGAGAGCATTCAACCGCATCGAAACGACATCACAAGAGCAATTGACTTACGAGGAAAGGCGATACTCGCTGGTGCTGCTACGCCGGCCGTTGTCAATCGAGGGCCTTGTGTCCACGGCCATCGCTCGCATGCGCTCCAGTAGCTCCTCCGAAAGGCCACCGGATTTTGCTAATTTGATGACCTCGGTGATCACATCCTGCTGCTGCACACGAGCCTTCAGCTCTGCAGAATACACAGAACGTTGCATCAATAGATCTTCCTTCAGTTCTGCCACCTGTTTCTTGTATCGCTTCATCTTTTCCTCCTGAGACTTTATCAGAGCAGCATGTGTACTCATGAGCCGCAAATTTGCTTTTGACTGCCGCTTATTGTGCTGATTCAGCGCAGCAAACGATGCGCCAGCAGCGGTATACGCGTCCTTGATTTTCTTGTTTTCAGTCTTCAGGTTTTCATTCTCTTGGGACAACGTCTGCACAAGTTCGCGGCCCTTTGTAACCTCTTTTCGAAGGTAGTCAATCATGCGCTCGGAGTCGTCTAGCAGCTTGCTGTCATCCATTGACTCTAGTCCTAATTTACTTGACCGCGAACTGCTTGGAAGCGTGTGTAACGCTTCACCCTCGCAAATGCTGCTGTTAGCAGTAAGTACAGAAGAACCCCGAACCTCTTTCAGCTCCTGCTGCAATGACGAATTTTCCGCTTCGATTTCCAGGCGAGCACGCTTTTCGTCCTCGAGACGGTGCTTCAACAAATCTACCTCGGTCTCCATTGCATCATGTTCCTTCCGTTCCGTCAAAAGCTTGTGATACTTGTCCACTTGCTTCCTCGTCTTGAGCATGCACTGGATCTTAATGGTGGCATTGCGAAGCTTTGTATACTTCTGCTCGGCAAGATGTTTGCGGTACGCACTTTGAATCAAAACCGCGCTATTTCCCTTCATCAACAGATACATACGCTGGCGCGAGCGCACACCGCGCCACACACTTTGCACGATCACACACTTCTTCCGCTTCTCGATGAACGCACGCCGCTGTACCTGGCAGCGGTAACGTGCCTGAAGTTTAGTAATCATTGTCCGGACCTTTTTGACTCTTCGCCGTGCAATCCATTGTCGCGCATTTCTCTGAATCACGACTGCTCGATCGTGTACAAACGTCGTGCGTCGGTGCTCTAGAAACTCCAGCACATCTTTACCAAAAAAGACCAGACTTTTTCCGACAACAAAATCTGGAGTATCGGGTTGTTCATCGTTGCCGCACTTGCGAACGAAATCATCACTGCAAAGTAGTTCCTTAGCAAGCAACTCGCATGCCTCAGTAACAGTCGTAGACACGGAAGCGGGCGTTTTTGTGCTCCTCATCATTACAAAACGGCGAAGGAACTTTTCATGTGCCATCTTATTCGGAAATGCTGCGCGTGTAATGCGAATGGCTTCCACGACACCTGCACAGCGAAGCTGGTTGACGACCGCGTCAATTTCATAGATGTCGGGACGCTTTTGCGAATTGGGTTTGATGCAGCGCACGTAGTGCACCTCGGTGCTCGAGATGTCGCTCATTAGTAGTGACAATTGTGCCTTAAACTTGTAGCTCACAGTCTCTTGCATGAAAGTTGACGTTTTCCGACCGATTGTACCACGTCGCCCTGCTTCCATCATCGTGGAAGCACGAATCGTCAAGTCTGCGTCTGTAATGGATGCCGCATTATCATTATCGCCAAATACCATCGACATCAACCCGTTTGAGCTCGTGCCCAACAACTCTAATAAATCCGTCTGGAGGGAGTCCTTGTTCTTCTCGACAAAGCCCTTTGCATCGTATGTCACAGGACTCGCATAGTGGTATAGCAAAAAGTGCATTTGACTGAGACGAGCCCGTTCCAGGCGCGGGTGCGACTCACGCAGCGAGACCAGCTTGGACACAAACGACAGGTCGCTGCCCATGGGGCGAACACACTCTTCATTCAAGAGAGCCATGACGCCCATTGAGTTCTCCAAGAGGTCCAGCATATCCTGATTGTCTCGGTACTTGACAAACTCCCACGCCACGCCCTCTTGCTCGTACTCTTCCTGCACGGTCTTAAACACGTCCATGGTAAACTTCTGCTGCAGCTTTTCATTGGCAAAATTGATGCAAAACTGCTCGAAACTATTGTGTTCAAACGACTCGAAGCCAAAAATATCCAGCAAATCAATGTGCAAGTACGACGGCGTGACCGCTGTCGAGTTCGAAATGCTGTGGTTCACGCGACGTACCAAATAGCCAAACACTCGTGCGTAAATCTCTTTTGCCAGCGCATCGCGATTGTTGCCAGCTTGATGAGCTGACAAGGGCACGCAATAGACTTCCTGACGGGCCTTGACCGTGCGACTACAGAGCTGTGCGCCCAGCGCTGCCATCTCCACGCCCAAGAGCTGCGCACACTGCTCCATCTCAATCTTCTGCAGCGCAATCTGCTCGTCCGTAATCGTCGCGGACGACGCGACAAACGCCACCGCTTGACTCGCGTCGTCCTTGTTCGAGTCGAGCGGGACAAAGTCGAGCTGCCCGAGCCGCAGGATCCCGCACAGCGCGCGAAAGAGCTCCGTCTGCTCCTTGTCACTCACGCCAATCGTCGTGAGAGCGTCCCGCGTGACTTGGTACCGCTCCAAGTCTGTCATGCCGTCCAGCGTGAGCACTTCGTCCTGCAAGAAGCGAAACTGCTTGGCTGACGTGTTCGCGTCAAAGCCAAGCGCCGGCTCCTTGGCACTCACCAACTGATAGAAAATGTGGTAGTTCCGCTCGCCTGCCGCTTGCGCTACAACGCGCGACTTTTCCAGCAAATAGTGACGACACTCGGCGCCCACGAGACACGAGTCGCTATTGAACTGGAGCTGCGTGAACTTGCCAAAGCGGCTCGAGTTGTCGTTGCGGATCGTCTTGGCGTTGCCAAACGCCTCCAGCAACGGGTTGCTCTTGAGCACCTTCTCGACCACGACTGCTTCGCCGCTCTCGACCGGTGGCAAGCGCTTGGCGATCGCCATGGAGATACTCGCCAAGTGCTCCATCATGATCTTGACGGTCTCGGTCTTGCCTGCCCCCCGACTCGCCACTCACGAGGATGCTCTGGGGCAGACGGTGCTGGTTCATGTGGTGAAACGCCTCGGCGCTTGTCGCATACACGTGTGGCGGCATCACGTCCCATGGGCGTTCCGTGTACAGATCCCGGAGCTCGTTCGTATAGAGGCTCTTGATCCACTGGTACGGGTTCAACGCCACGACGATCTTCCCCCGTGTACGTGTACGGCTCGTTGGCAAAGAAGCGCGCGCGCACGTTGTAGACGATCGCGGGCTCGTGGAGATGCCCGAGCGCGCACATGTCTTCGGCGCCAGCGCTCGTCAGGTCCGAGCTGGCTTCGTTCTGGAGCGGCAACGAGTCGGGCATGCCGTCGTGGGTGAGGTCGACGGTGCGCTCGTCAACGGGCGCATCGGAGCTGCCGCGCAATGGTTGCACCCGGACGCGGAAGACGTTGCCGCACTCGTTGACCGAGAGGATTGTAGCTGGTACCCAGACAAACTTCTCGTCGGGAATGTACACGCGCGCGCCCTCCATCGTGCGGAAAAAGAGTGATGGTCAGGGAAATTTCCCTTTGCAGCGCGGACAGTAGCAGCAGCGCGGTGGGGACGGCGGTTGGGGCTCGAGAGGGAAATCAACCCACAAACCCGTGAACGAGGCGGGTCACGAGCGCGCGTTTGGTAGGGAAACCATCGACTTTGACGGGGATTTGACGCGGCTCGGTGCTTCTTGCGCACCGAGCATCGGAGTAGAAAAGGTGCGGGCGATACATCCTTGCGCAGATAGCTACACTGATCGTGGTGGAAATCTCTGATTTGTTGTTTTACCGGTATCGGTTCTTTTGCGAACCTTGACAAGCATCGACTTGTGCGTTTGATAGCTAAAAAAGTGCTTTTTACGCTTAGAGGGAACCTCACTTAGTGCACCCGTTGCCATAACAGAGGCTTCGCCTTGCTTACCTTTGCGACTGCCAGGAACTTCGTGTTCGTACACGATTGTCACATTTTAACAGTCCGTCTCGGCGCTTCGTGTCTCACTGATCTGTTGGAGGATCATGTTGCTTTCCGAGTTTAGGTCGAGCGTATAGACGCAGGTTTTACCTTTTAGTCCGTCGTGCACGTGGACCGGTCGGCGCTTTTACATACAGAGAAACGTGGCCGTGTCACCGCAGATGGTGCTAGTTTTATGCAGTGTTCATTATGGCTTGGACAGCGCACTGACATGAGCACTGGTGCACAGTTGAAGGACCAGATAAGAGCAAGAATAATTTGCAGGCGTAATCAATCAATAGTACAGGAACGAAAGAGGGCTAGCAGAAATTTTCAGCAAAATGTTTATTCAATAACTTTAATAGCAGAAATTTTGGGACGGCGGGATACCACCACGATGTGGCTTCATTACAGCCATGATCACAGATCACCATCCCACGGCCACAGCCCTGATTGATGACATCATACTCTTGCTTTGTACATGACGTACTGTATCCGCCAAGAGTATCCGGTCAAAAGTATCCAGCCAAGAGTATCCAGTCAAGAGCACTTGTTATCCAATGAGGTATGTATACGCGTGTACCGAGGGCGATGACAATTGCATACAAAAAGTGGCTACATCCTTCTACATCGGTTACGCCCCACGGATTTTTAGGCTTCGACACCGCCTTTGACGAAGTTGAAGTTGATGGAGAAGTACACACCAATGAACTTGGTGATCGCATTCCACCAAGGAAGGATAGATTGGATAGTTGCACCTTTCATTTTATATTATAGACCACAAGTGCACACGTCCTGTCATCAGGGACGACTGAAATGCAGTAGGTGTGCTTACATTCCATCTGTATATGCGACTCACAGCCTAAGTTGCTTTCCCGACAGGATCTACCTAGTCACATGAATGCTTGAATCCTGCGCTACTCCCACCCGATTCCTATCATCACACCCCTTTTCTTCCTCTCCTTTCATCCCGCCAGTCATCTCTTCCCTAACTTCTCTTCGTTCGAATACTAAACAACCTCGACCCCATCGCATCCAAAGAAACCAACAATGTGCTCAACTAAACGTTTAATACTCGACAATACGTGTCGACTGGTTACTAGCAGTGCTATTGCGACGATACTCTTGTGCCCGTCGCTTCCGCTCTCGCTGCTCTTCCTCCGGGTTCAACGTCGGCACGCCATATTCACAAAGCGAGACGTAGGACGATCCCCGATCTCGAATCGCACACGGGGCGACACTCAAAAACGCTCGCATGGCAAACGAATCGCGCAGAAACGCCATGCTTTGCACGGCACGCAAGAGCTCTTGGAAGCGGTCGCATCGCGATTGCACGTGGGATCGATCGTGCCGCTTCCAGTATGTGAGAAAGCCAGCGTGGGGCAAAGGGGGCAAGCTGAACGCCAGTATCGAGCGCTCGAGTGTGTCCTCTTGCGTCATCCTCCTCACGGGCTGCGGCCCTTCCGTAGATCCGGGAGTCGCCCCCCGTGCAAGTCTCGAACTGGCTCGATGACGGTAATAACTTTGTCGATTCTCGAGGATGTCGCATAACTGGACGTAGAGCTCTTTAAAGTCCGAATAGCTCCGACGAATGGTGTAGGTTTGCAAAGGGGCGTCGTGGTCCACTACGTCAATGTGGTACATGACGCGCTTCTCCCTCCCCCGCATGGAAAAGCCCGAGAGCACGAGGTCCGTTAACGGCTCGACGGATGACTGGGGACCAGACGCTGTCGACTGCCCGAGCTCTGCCTCTCGAATCTGGAGCTGCTGCTGCTGCTGCTGGAGTTCTTTGTCGGACGTTACGTCGGACTCGTCCTCGAGTGTGAGTTCATTGAGCTCGAGCTCGTCGTCGAGGCAGCAGATCGTGGCATTGGACGACGGTTCTTGGGGCAGACCGCCCACGTCGTCCTCGTCCAGTGGTTGAGGCTTGTCGTCCGTCTCGCAGACGGACTTGAGCGTCGCGTGGACGGCATTGATAGCATCATCATCGTCGACGTCGTCGAGAGTGGTGGTCGTCGTAGTCGTGGCTCGTTTGATTGGAGCGGATGGTGAGGGAGGTGGCTGTTGTTCGAGCGTGGCAAAGTACCAGTCGGGTAAGTGCTCGACCGCTGCTTCGAGCTGCTGGCCGCGGGAGAAGGAAAGCGCCTCAGTCATGAGGGACTCGGGGCAAATGGAGTTGTGAGTTCTGACTTGAGTCTACTAACAACTGCAGGGAGCTAGCTCCCCAGCAGCGCGAGGCAGCTGGGGAGGGAAGCTGCACATCCCCCCGTCTTTGAGCTTGGTTTAAACCCCGTTTCAAGAACGGGGTGGGGGGGGAGGAGGTGCTCAAAGCGTGAGAAAACGTCGTCTTTTCACTTGGTTTCAGTACGAAATGTGTTTTGCTGCCAAGGACGAAAAGCGGTTTTAGGACCGACGCAAAGGATGCTCATTATCAGCACGGCGTTGGTCAAGCCGCTCATTTCCCTAGCGATGCTTCGCTTCCTCTTGCCCGCCGGCTGTTTGAAAGGTCAATTGCTATGTAATTCTCAACTAGCGGCGATGGGCACTGGGAAACCCATGGCCAGCTTCAAGTGCTCGACCAGTTGGTATCGAGTCTTTTTTATCGGCCGCGGACAAGTCGTTTTGGTCCACGTGGGTGGGGCGTGGGCAATGTCTTAACTCGATGGGGCACGCACTACTACACGGCGTTAAAGCCACTGACTGTTTTCGACACGATGTGGCTATATCACGTCGTTCGTTACCTGTGCCTCTTCGGTACCTTGCTGTCATCATCATCTCTTACTGATGGCACAAGTGGAAGGAAGGAAGGAAGGTTGGTCGGTCGGTCGGTCGTCTTCCATTGAGAGGGTTTTACGGCACATTCGGCATCTATTCCAGGCACCGATCTTTCGAAAAATTCGAATGCGCGAGAGAGCGAGAGCAAGAGAGTATTCGGACGGATAAGCACCCGACTGCTCTTCTATTGTCCATTCGACCTCGCCCCGCGGCGAGTCTATGGTTTATAATATGGAAAATTACAGAGCGCCGATGCAGCCAAGCCAGTCTATCGGATACAGTGTGCTCCCAGGCAGAGCAAGCTCATGCTGTTCATTCATTCCTTGCTGGTTGGTTCCACTGGAAACAGGCTCGACGGCAGGTGCTGACTGATTGTAGGAGAACACTAAAGGGTGCTGTGGAGCGAATCTGACCTGTGTAAACGATCTTATGTTGCATCCAAACAGCGTCAATGCAGTGCCAACACGTGGCGTTTTGCTCTTCAGAATAACTCACACGGACGAAACGCTTCAGTTGTCTCAACATCGCCTCCCCATCTACTATCTGAGCACAAGGCCTGACCCAGCAGCTTCTGCTACTTTTCAACAAGCACTTTTACCGCCACTTTTCTGTAAAGTCGTTAGGTAAGGGCGGAGCAAGCAAGTGCGTGGACGTCTGTCCTTCTGGTGCCAAACTCTGTCCATTTTGTCAGCTTTCACGTGAGCTTGCTCGTCTCATCGTTTCCAGCTCGCTGTCTGGCCATCACGTCGTCACGTTCTTCCACCACTGAGATCTAGCGCAGCTGCTCGCAGTGTAACATCGTCATAAAAAAGATGGATGAAATGAAAAAGCGTCCACGTCGAGACTAACAGTGTTTTGTATGGACGGACGGTTGGCCAGCAATTAGCAGCAGCTAAAACTTGAACAAGGTGCACTCTTTACCCACACGACTCAAGTCGGACAGACGAGCCGAAGAGGGTCGTGTGGATATTGTCGTGGTCAGATTGTCTCTACGATGATAAAGATCGATCCCCTCTTCGCATGAAATTTCAGTGCACGTCTGACTGACTGACTTGGCACAGCGCGACATTCCGCCATGCTCCTTGACTTGTGTAGACGATGCAAGCTGTCGCATATGCTGACTACCTGACGTGCCCTATTGAGCGTTTCGTTCCAGCAGGGATGTAAACCAAGCGGTACAAGTATGTAGGCAGCTATTGCTATCACGTTTGGGTCTTCGACTGCTGTGATAGACCGGAAATGGTCATTCAGCAGATCAATTTTGCTGCTGGCTTCTGCAGCAAAAGCGACTACTGATTTGCCAGGAAACGATCAGTCGGTATGATGTTCATTCACCTCTGGACAAGGACTAGGACGAGAAGAAAGATGAGGAAGCGTTGATAGGTAGCAAAACGCTCGCGAATCGGGATCAACACGTGCATGATCCATGGGGTGCAGGACTTCCCTCTCGAAACGATAGTCAACCAGTTTCCAGCTCCTGATCAAGCATCCGTCTGCACGGTGTATCAACAAGTACCGTACACTTGCAGTGCGTGCTTGCTGATACTAATCTCATCGAACGCCCGTGAATAACACGTACACGAGAAAGCCAGATAGCCTGCACATCTTGCATGTGGACCACCCATTTCGCTACAAGTTCACGTCGGACGAGCAGATTACAATCCCCGTGCCCTTTGCATGGACGACCAGAATTCTTGATGCAGTCACAAACCCTCGAATTTTTCAATGTCTCAACGACGATTGGGAACGGTGGCATCAAAGAAAACATCTTCATCATCCTTTCCCCCTCACGTCGACGCACAACTTCACCTTTCATATGCCACACCTTTGACGTATCTCGCAAGGGATGTCTGCATAGAGTTTTGAGCATCATCGAACCGCCTCGAACATCACCTCAGTAGCAAGAAATTCTATGCACAGCCTTGTGTGATCCTTGTTTTCGACAATCTCGGATGAGAGGTAAAGAACTGGATGGACTGGAGCATCTTTGTGCGGCGAGTCACGAGAGACGCTCGTCAAAAATTTGCGAGCTGTACGGATCCTCCGGCGTTCAGCAGGATTGTAAGTCAGGTACACGGTATACGATTCTTGGAGAGCTTGGAAAGAGGAGGCAAGCTCGCAACTGCGTGTGAAGTCCAGTGCCCGTTGTACAACAACTATAGATGAAGTGGATCGTTCGGCATCGAAAAGCGGTGACACTGCGCTGAAGCCGGCGTGACCAATGTCTCCTCGCCCACTGTTGAAAAATTCTCTAGCTCTACGTAGTGTCTACTACACCTTGGACAGAGGGATATGCGCTTTGTTCGATGCTCTTCGTTGACATTCCAGGCTGAACCCTCATCACGGTTGTCCATCGTGTTACTAACATTGTGACAAAGCGCTCACATTTTATGGGTCCTGCAGTGCCCTCCGTGACAGCTGTACACGTTGTTTACCTCATTTTGCCTTCACGCCACGCTCTTTGATCAGATTGATTCCGAGACTACACTTTTTCGTGTGGTGTGACATCGGTAGTCTCTAGAGTCAAGTTGTGCTTGAAGAGCTACGCTTCTCCTCCCCACGGTTGTCCTATTGCTGGTTATGCTTCCGATCTGACCAGCAGACCGCTGCTGCTTTTGCACTTGCTACCTCCAACATCCTGCGTCCCATAACTAGATACTCACGTGTCGACTGAAGTCTTGTGCAGGCTGTAATTTGCCAAACGGATGACTGTCAGCACTTATGGCTCTACTGCAGTCTGGCCACAAAATGTGACGGCTCACAGCATTGCAGCCATCCACGGCAAGACAACCTTTCGAGGCCAAGTGGATAGCCCCCAGCCAAATTTCGAGGCCAAGCGGATAGCCTCAACTACATTTCATGCCTTCTGGCTACCACTGCATAAACATTGCATATCGTCTCACGCCTTCATTGACCGTGGATCGGGGTTGAGCCCAAGTAATCGCCAATAGCTCGAACGAACTGACTGTTGAGCAGCACTTTAACCAGCAGTTTCTTGAGCACAACTGTCTATTTGCTGACACGGTTTCGCAGCCCTCTCTCTCGCTAGCACTCATCGACAAGGCTACAGGTCTTCACTAAGTCAAGAAAAATGTCGCTCGATTGACCTAGTCCACCACAAGGTAGAGCGACCGCGACCTCATACAAGTGCAGCCGTTGATTGCATTGTTGCCGTCACAAGTGTGACTACGATGTGTCGGCATTATGCAACATGCCCCGCCACGCTGTGTAAGTTGCGGTACTATCGATCGCTGCGACATTGTAAAGAGAGTGGCGGCCAGGAGGAAGACTGAAGAAAAAAGCTCGTGTGACGCGTGACTACCGTTCAATACACGCTGCAACGTGATCATGAAAAGGCGTCGAACGCCCTGTCCAGTCCTTCGCCATACCGGTCGAGTCAGTCGAGACTGGCTGTTTTGTTCACCATCATCGTAATAGACCCGAGCTGCCCTACTACATGTCGTTATGGACATGGGAGAGAGAGAAAAGCTCGAACGCTGCACGCCACACATGTCGGTGCAAAAAGGACGCGTGCAATACTTGAGCTTTGCCCTCGCTCTGTGCCAGTCATTCGGTGCCATCTGCTTTCCAGTCCAGTAGACAACCGACTTGTCAAGGCTTTGTCCTCAGCTGTAGCTCCTGGACTAACCACAACAAGCGGCTGCAACCATAGCCTAACTGCACCTTTCGAAAACCATTCGCTTGCAAGCAAACGTTCGTGGATTTGCACGTGCGACAGCTGCTGCTTTTGCTTCCACTTCCGCTGTCACTTGACACATGACCCGGTCACCTGAAACTTCATTCACCCTTTTGCACGGTCCTCAGCTCGTCTTCCACCCTCTTCGTGCCCTGCTTGTCATGCGCATCGTCGCTCCTTCTTCTGCCTTCCACGGTTTTCGCTACAGCGAGTCGGCTCTTCCCGACAGCTCCGACTCGAGTTTCCAGCTTCCTCTCAACAATGCAAGAAATCGCAGCAGTCTCGCTGCACTGGCAACCCCTCGAGCCATGAACTGCAACAACAACAACAACAACCTCTTCATTCGATACGACAGTTGCACGAGCGAGACGAGCGGGTTCGATGGCTTGAATCTCTGGAACGTCGAGGTTGATGTGGTAGACGCGGCGTCTCCGAGCCACAGTGTCATTCACCCGACCGAGTTTGAACCGTCGTATCAAGGCGTGTCAATTGAGGTCAACAACCACTCGGTCAACAACCAGGGCGTCGTCATGTACCACGTCGATATCAAAGGACCGGACGGGTTCCTCTCCACGTACACGATCCGCCGTCGCTTTCGTGCTTTCAAGAACCTGTACGCGGAACTCAATCGTCTCGTGGTGGAGTACCAGCAAAACCATCGCGCTCACCTGAAAGCTGTCGAGACAGCCAAGAAGAAAAAAGCTGCTGCTGCTGCTGCATCTCCTCTGGATTCGCTGCGAGACAACCACATTCCATTGAGTCCACATAGCGCCCTCATTGCACGAGCCAAGGGGCCGCCCGTGTCCAGCACCAACTACAGCATTGTGACGTTCCCGTCGTTGCCTAGTGCAGGGGTCTGGAGCATGTTGAAACGTCACGACGTGCGGCTTGTTGAGAAGCGCAAGCAACGGTTCCAGGAGATCTTGGCACTGGCCATTCGACATCCAGCGACTAGGAACAGCAGCGTCTTGGACGAGTTCCTTAGCGTCGCTCCCAGTGAAATCTCGCAACGCGGCTCGTCGTACGTGTCCTTGCAAGACTATAGTGTACCAGTGTACGACCGGAAGCGCGAGTCTATTGAGCGACGACAGCGGAAGATGCAGTTGCTGGAAGTTCGACGACTGCGGGCAGGATCCGACAGCCAATTTGGTGAGTGAGCACCGCAGTAGGCAGGCCGGATGACTGCGTATTAGCAGGAGCTGTATTGATAGTAATGAACGTGGTCGTAACGGGTAGAACCACTCATGTGCCTTGAACCTCCTGATAGCTTCCTCGGGCTCTAGAATTGCGAACGCAGCCCCCCTTTGCTCTTGCCAATGTGCACGGGCAGGTTGGGTTTCGATCCCTGCGTCGACCGCTTTGGTTTCCGAAACAAGATGCGACCATCGGAGCTGATAGCAGTTGCTGCGGCTTCAGGTTCAGTCACTTTCGGCTTCTTCGTCGTTGATGCTGTAGACGATGTGGATGGCAAGCCCAGAGCACCGGAACTGCCGGATATTGCGCTGCTGACGTCTTTTGTGCGGTAGAAATCGGGGGAGTGATCCACGAGCCAACGTGGATCGATCTTCGACACGTCCCGGACAAACTCTTCGGTAGTAAGCACGCTCTGATGAAAGATGATCCAGTCGGGCAGTGTCCCCATGTGATAGTACACGGACGTTCGATGCAATTGCACTGCTCGCTGGTCACGCAGTGTTCGGTAGATACCATCAGCGTGCAATTTTGCAGCATTTGCAAAGTATCCGCTGACGAGACACTTGCGAATGGTAGCACTGCGGACCTTCTCCTCTGTTTCGTCCGTGCCGGTACCGTCAAGTTGCACATGATCTGCTTCGTGATGCTTTTCCAACGACTTAAAACGCGTGATATACCGTTCAAGATGCCGACGAACTTCGGTAGCACGCACAAGTGCACGGTGGCTGAGCAAATACTCATCACACCATGAACGACTCTTTCCAGAATCTACAAACTCGTCATAGATCGACAGATACATCATGTGGTCGCCGTCCGGGTGTGCGAAATGCTCCATGGCCTCTGCAAGTTTTTCTTTTCCCGCTTTCGAGCCACGTGCATTGAGGAACACGTCTCCCACAGACAACACGCTAGCAATGCTGAGCATCTCACGCATGCAGTCAAACCGGCAAGACGACAGGATCACTTTTGCCAATGACGGGGCCACGGGAAATTCAGCCACCTGCGTCCCTAATGGATCAATGAGACGACTGTCAGTATCGATGACACCAAGAAAGAACAACAACTCCAAAGCACGGATGAGAGCCTCTGGAGATGGCGGGGACACGAAATCAAAGTGGGCGAGATCCCGAATACCCATACTCAGGAGATACAATGCCACAGTTGCCAGATTCGTGCGCTGCATCTGCGGAATCGTCTCTTTCGCCAGTTTGGTGCGAAAGTACTCCTGGGTGCAAAGTCGAAAGCACTTTCCAGGACACGAACGCCCTGCACGACCTGCTCTCTGCTTTGCTGAGGCCTTGGAAACCAATGTCGTCACTAGAGTTTCTACTCCAGTAAGAGGGTTGAAAAAAGCGAGCTTGGTGAAACACCCGTCCACTACAAATACCACTCCTTCGATAGTCACGGAAGTCTCAGCAATGGTAGTTGCCACAATCACTTTACGTCGAACGCCTCGAGGTGCCGGCAGAAACGCGTTCTGTTGCATTTTTAACGGCAGCGTCCCGTACAATGGCACAGGAAGGATATCTGCTGGTGCGCGGTCGTTGAGCGCTCTAACAACAAAATCGATCTCCTCCTGACCAGGCAGGAACACCAGCACGTCCCCTTCACCTTCATGCTTGTCGATAGCCAAGACCGTGTCGATGCTTCGTTGCAGATAGTCTCCACACGGTTCCTGAAGGTACTCGATATCGACAGGGAACTGGCGTCCTTCCACTGACACGACGACGACATCCTCTAGATCCACAGCTGGCTTTGCCAACATCGAGGTCTCCCCTGATTCTTGCAGCTTGTCCTGTTTCTTCGAGCGAAAGAACTTTACAAACGTATCGACATGCAGAGTCGCAGACGCAATGATCACGCGCAGCTCTGGCCGCTTCCTGCGTATTTTCTTGATCAATCCCAGTAGCAAGTCCGTTTCTAAATTACGTTCATGAGCTTCATCCTGCATATCCACACAGCACAGTAGCAAACTGAACGTCAGCAAAGCACAAACGATCGTATCCAAATACGCGCAAGGCTCTCCGTCATCGCCTAGCTCTTCTCACCAAAATCACCACTGAATACCGCGACAGCAACGGATCTCGCATCGTCTCTCTTAACAGCAGTCCGTCCGTGACAAACTTGATCTTCGTGCGCTCAGCGTCCCACTGCTCCTCGAACCGAACAGCATATCCCACTTCCTCGCCAAGGTTACAGCCTCTTTCCATTGCCACACGCTCCGCAATGGTCACTACTGCAACACGTCGGGGCTGGGTACACACGATCGTCCGGTTCTGCCCCGTGTATTGACCATCGATCGACCGAGATGTCGCCCATCCCGCCTCCACTAAATACTGCGGCACTTGCGTGGTTTTTCCAGAGCCTGTGGTGCCTACGAGGATCGTAATTGCATAAGTCTCCACTGCATAAAGCAGTTCGAGACGGTGACGAGCGACGGGGAGACGAGCTCGTTGGTCCTGTACCGAGAGCTTCGACAATGGATTGAACTGCACAAGCGGTACCTCGACGTCCTTTGGAAGGTCACGTGCGACTTCTGCTTCCGCGTCGGCCGTAGCGGTTGCACCACGGAGCGCTGTGCCGGGGCGCCAGAATGTAGCCATGTGGGCGGATACGCTGCGCTGGACAAGAAAACGGAGCTCCTGGGTTTTGATTGGTGCGTTGCAATGGGTTCGTGATGTCATGATGGGTAGGACCGGTCCGGAACGAACTGAACCGGTTCGCATGCGACTTGAGCCTGCTATTGGATGGCTGCGACTCGACGTCGTTTCTACCGCTGGCCGTTAATTGAGAAACAGGGAGCGTCGTCGCAAGCACCAAGTCACCATGGTAAGCACGCAAATGTATGGACTAACTGCTTGATTACGAGCGTCTGCTCGTTAATAGCTGCACGATTTGGCAATCGTATCTTGAGTGAAAGTAGAGGACGTTTCCCGGAGCTGGCGTTGCTGTGATAGTAGAAGTGTTGACAAATTGATCCGCTGATAAAGCACTGGACAATGGCTATTGAGATCTACTACTGTGACAGGAAGCTTGGGCTAGTCTCGTTGCAGCTTTATGCAGTTGCAGTAGCTCCGTAGATTGCTTAATGTCAATAGCTGTAGTTACTTTGGAGTCTATAGATTGGGAAGAAGACACTTGAGTGATCAGGTGGTAGTGATCTGATTGATATGCTGACGTCTTGTATTGTGATCCTGCCGCACGTGTAGCCGCCGAAAACGCAGCAGAAAACCAAAGAGCAGAAGATGGCTGCCGCCATGGCCGGTGGCAAGGGCAAGGGCAAGAAAAAATGGTCCAAGGGTAAAGTCCGTGAGAAAGTGGCAAACAAAGTGCTGTACGACCAGGAGGCGTATGAGCGTTTGCTCGTGGAAGTGCCCAAGATGAAGTTGATTACGGCTTCTGCTATTGTCGAACGTCTCAAGGTGAACGCTGCGCTTGCTCGCGCCTCGATCCACGAGCTGGAGGAGAATGGCAGCATCTCGAAGGTGCTGGGCCATCACGCGCAGCTTATCTACACTCGCGCTGTGGCTGTGGAGGAGTAAAAGGTTGATTAAGGTTGATGCTGTTCACCTCCTTGAGCTCCGATTGTGTCTTGCTGTGGACATGGTGAGGCTGTCGTTCTGAGCTTGAAACGAGTACTTGGTGATGACAAGAAGACGCGATAAGACACGCAGGATCGTGCTTGGTGGTGAACTTTTGGACGTCAGTAGCAGCAAAAGTGCGGTGATTGCTGCTGTCTGTCTGGATTAAGTTTGCAGCAACTGAGCGTAATGAAACACGCCCCTCCCTGTTGAAGTGCTTGATATTGTGTCTACCTCTGGTTGTGAACTCAATTGCTGCTGCTTTTCTTCGCTACTTTGCTATTTAAAGAGGTTTGCAAACGCGGCTTGCTGCTTCTTGCAGAGCTGCGTCTTTGCTCGTCGAGCTCGAGCCAATGCGCTTCGGAACAGATTGTTGTTCGGCTCGAGCTCGAGTAGCTTTGTGAGATCTGCAAGCGCCTGGTCAAACGCTTTCGACTGGACATACGCTTGGCTTCGACGATAGCGAGCTTTCACGTGTGCGTCTTCGATCGCCAGTGCACTTGTAGCGGCAGCGATGCAGCGATCGATGTCATCGTCTCCGTTGATCTTTGAATAGCTCGTCGCCAAGTTGGCATAGCACGCGACAGCTACGTGGTTCACTTGGTGCAGCTCCTCGATCGAGTACTGTCCTTTACCATCGAGTGCCGTGTGCGACCAAGCAGCTGGCGGCTCCAGCCATGCTAGTGCTCGCTCGTAAAGCTGCACAGCCAAGCTGTAGCTCTCCTGTTTGAAAGCTTCGTTCCCACGTACTCGGTACTCATCTGCCCGCTGTATCTTCCACGAGAACCAGTCCCTCTCTTGCCTAATGGGATCCTCGATCTCATCAGACTTAGATCCGCCACCACTTGAAGCGTCATTTAGCTGCAGTTTGCAGTACAACTCGGCCTTATCGTGCCTCATCCCCAGCTCTTCAGCAGCTTCAGCACTTAAACTGAGATTCTCAATAGCCACGGGAAACGCATCGTCGTCATTGTCATCCTTTAGATTAGTATCAGTTATTGAGCTTTGCTGATCACAGTGACGGGGACGTCGCTCGAGGAGATTTTCCACTCGGCTTTGAACTTCCGGCACGAGTGCAAGTCCAGTCGTTTTCAGTGACACGAGCGATCCATCAGAAGGGTTGTCGCCATTGGATTCAACCACTTGACATCGTCGAGATGTTACGACCGCAACATCAAAAAGTCCGTGGAACACTCGACCAGCGTCGGAGCATGAGGCGTCTTTATACAGCGACCAGGAGATACTTTTAGTCGAGAATGCCATGGTGACAAGGTTCTGAAGGAATGGAGATTCGTCTCACTTTGGTAAAGTATGCATCTTGCTCATCAGTGGAGAGCTACGCAAACATAAATGCCACATCAATGCTGCGGCTACAGATAGTCGACTCTTCATCGAAAAAAGATGTGATACATTTGACAGTACTATTGCTTGAGTGCGTACAACGAGAGGTAAGCGTCACACGACGCTAGGACTGAGACTTACGATGTACATTCGCTGATTGAAGAATGTGCTCAACATGAGCAGCTTGTGCAACTTGTTTCAACTGGAGACGCACTCGAGCGTATAGTTCACGTAGCTTGGCTGAGTCTGCACTACCCAACGATATACCGCAAAACACGTCAGACCTTCAGTGCCAACCCGTTAGGGTCTTGGACTCTTCAGTATAACACACGGATAACACCAACCACATTGTTGTCGCCTGAGTTTCTTCAGCATCATAGCCCGGGCTAGGATATCAATCAAGCTGCATAATTTGTCAATGTCGCGTCGGAAAACGTGAACAGCCATTTGATGCGTGGTACTGTTCATTCGGAATCAGCAGCATCTGCATAACTTGTTAACACGCTGCGCTGTTCGAGTGCTGTAACAGCAATGGAACTACTACTTTATGGCAGGAAGTGAGGAGACCTGTGTTCATGACTCTGAAGAAATGCCAGCAGCTTTTGACGTTGGCAAGATAATTGTGCGGATCGTATTTTAGTTAGCATCGAGAACAAGATGCGACGCTTTTGCAGTCAAATCACAAAGCAGCACTTGCTCTTCTGCCAGTGCGAATCCCCAGCTAACCGGACCTTTGGCACATTGTGCACGGTTTGTTAGATAGGTTGTGAAGCTTTATTTGTACAAAGTACCGATAGATGGTCAAGCCATGATGTAGACAAGGCGACACTTGCACTTTACAGCTTCGTGATCGCCGCATACGTACCGCCTCATTGTGATTATTCACCTGGAGCCACTCGGGAAAGAAGAGCACCGAGTATTGATAAACTGACATCGAAAAAGCGTCCCAGCAATTACTGTTTCTTAACATTACGACGGATGGACTCTTGTTGCAACAACACTATCGCATAACTTCTCCAGCCAAGAACCACCACCGCTAGACCTCAGCACTAAATCCCACAAGTGCGCTCCCCTCATAACGGTGTCCATCCTTCACTCTTGTGCGGCGCAATTCACGCCATTGGGGCATCCGGCATTTGTTCGGGTTGTTGCTGTTGCTGCTTACCACTTTGAGCGGGCTCACCCGATTCCTTCAGCTCCTTTTTCTTCTGATCCTGAGCCTTGCCGAACGCTGTGCGGCTCCACAGGTTCTCGAAATCATCGGGCGTTCCCTGCGAGCAGATCGTCTTGTGTTCACCCTCATCGTTGGCGTTCTGACGGTTCCACACCGTCTTCAGACGTTTACCCGCCACCTCACGTTCGTGCTCTGCTTTCAGGCGTCCCGACGAATCTTCGTAGCGCCGACGCGTACTCACAACTTTGTTTCCTCCCTCATCCACAACAGACGAGCTGCTGAAGGAGTACGACGAGAAAGCACTCTGGTTTTCCGACTCGGGCGTCTGCTCCAACTTCTCGTCTTTCTTCTCCGACTGCTTCGTTGTAGGCAGATCCTTGAAAAACTCGTCGTCGGTGCCCACATCAGGCACGTAGCGCATACCCACCGACAATGGCGGCATCGCACTGATGTCCATCAAAGACAGCTCCAGTGTCGACATTGGGTGCCAAAACGTCGGGCGCACTAGATCCCACGAAGTAAACATCCTTCTCATTTACTGTTCGACTTGACTTCCACACAGGCAATTCACAACTGAGCTACGCTTGCATGTGGAAGTTATCGCTCACTTGCTGCCTTCAGTTAATAGGTAGCGGATAAGCGAAGCGACGGATGTTGATGGAGATGCAACTGAAAGCAGCGATACACCTTACACTCGCATTCGCAGCTTTCAAATCCAACGACTGCATCGAGATGCTGCGAAAAGGCAAGTTGAAGTGGTCATCATCGTTAGTATACTGGATGCTCAGTTGCAAACGATATCGTCTCGACTTAGCTGACGGTTAAAAGGCCCTTCGGCTCCGTTTCTACAGCATGTATCCGACCGTTAGGGTATACACGCTGATCACATTACGGGCGTATCTTAGTCCTAGCTCTCGTTTTGGGGTTGAGTGTTAACGTATAAGTGGCTATGTCTTGCTTTTGCAGCTTCGTCAACGAAGGAGTGCACAAATATCCCAAGCATGGCGTGTACGATATCAATGAGGATACCGCTGCTGCATCGGCACATCGAACTTCCTATTGATAATGAGATTGTCATGTGCCATAAATTGGTGGATTAGAAGCGACACAGTGCTCCATACAATGTGAAGGAGGATCGATACCTACGAGGTGTTGGGTCTTAAAAGTTCCTGATCATAAAACATGTATTTGCTCGATTCTGCCAGCCATGTGGGCGGATACGCTGCGCTGGACAAGAAAACGGAGCTCCTGGGTTTTGATTGGTGCGTTGCAATGGGTTCGTGATGTCATGATGGGTAGGACCGGTCCGGAACGAACTGAACCGGTTCGCACGCGACTTGAGCCTGCTATTGGATGGCTGCGACTCGACGTCGTTTCTACCGCTGGCCGTTAATTGAGAAACAGGGAGCGTCGTCGCAAGCACCAAGTCACCATGGTAAGCAAGCAAATGTATGGACTAACTGCGTGATTACGAGTGTCTGCTTGTCAATAGCTGCACGATTTGGCAATCGTATCTTGAGTGAAAGTAGAGGACGTTTCCCGGAGCTGGCGTTGCTGTGATAGTAGAAGTGTTGACAAATTGATCCGCTGATAAAGCACTGGACAATGGACATTGATCTACTACTTGACAGGAAGCTTGGGCTAGTTCTGCTGCAGCTTTATGCAGTTGCAGTAGCTCTACTGATGGATTAATGTCAATAGCTGTAGTGACTTTGGAGTCTATAGATTGGAAAGAAGACACCTGAGTGATCAGGTGGTAGTGATCTGATTGATATGCTGACGTCTTGTATTGTGATCCTGCCGCACGTGTAGCCGCCGAAAACGCAGCAGAAAACCAAAGAGCAGAAGATGGCTGCCGCCATGGCCGGTGGCAAGGGCAAGGGCAAGAAAAAATGGTCCAAGGGTAAAGTCCGTGAGAAAGTGGCAAACAAAGTGCTGTACGACCAGGAGGCGTATGAGCGTTTGCTCGTGGAAGTGCCCAAGATGAAGTTGATTACGGCTTCTGCTATTGTCGAACGTCTCAAGGTGAACGCTGCGCTTGCTCGCGCCTCGATCCACGAGCTGGAGGAGAATGGCAGCATCTCGAAGGTGCTGGGCCACCACGCGCAGCTTATCTACACTCGCGCTGTGGCTGTGGAGGAGTAAAAGGTTGACAAAGGTTGATGCTGTTCACCTCCTTGAGCTCCGATTGTGTCTTGCTGTGGACATGGTGAGGCTGTCGTTCTGAGCTTGAAAAGAGTACTCGGTGATGACAAGAAGACGCGATAAGACACGCAGAATCATGCTTGGTGGTGAACTTTTGGACGTCAGTAGCAGCAAAAGTGCGGTGATTGCTGCTGTCCGTCTGGATCAATTTTGCAGCAACTGAGTGTAATGAAACACGCCCCTCCCTGTTGAAGTGCTTGATATTGTGTCTACCTCTGGTTGTGAGCTCAATTGCTGCTGCTTTTCTTCGCTACTTTGCTATTCAAAGAGGTTTGCAAACGCGGCTTGCTGCTTCTTGCAGAGTTGCGTCTTTGCTCGTCGAGCTCGAGCCAATGCACTTCGGAACAAATTGTTGTTCGGTTCGAGCTCGAGTAGCTTTGTGAGATCTGCAAGCGCCTGGTCAAACGCTTTCGACTGGACATACGCTTGGCTTCGACGATAGCGAGCTTTCACGTGTGCGTCTTCGATCGCCAGTGCCCTTGTAGCAGCAGCGATGCAGCGATCGATGTCACCGTCTCTGTTGATCTTTGAATAGCTCGTCGCCAAGTTGGCATAGCACGCGACAGCTACGTGGTTCACCTGGTGCAGCTCCTCGATCGAGTACTGTCCTTTAGCATCGAGTGCCGTTTGCGACCAAGCAGCTGGCGGCTCCAGCCATGCTAGTGCTCGCTTGTAAAGCTGCACAGCCAAGCTGTAGCTCTCCTGTTTGAAAGCTTTGTTCCCACGTACTCGGTACTCATCTGCCCGCTGTATCTTCCACGAAAACCAGTCACTCTCTTGCCTATTGGAATCCTCGATCTCATCAAACTTAGATCCGCCACCACTTGAAGCGTCATTTAGCTGCAGTTTGCAGTACAACTCCTGCCTTGTCGTCCCTGAGCCCCAGCTCTTCAGCAGCTTCAGCACTTAAACTGAGATTCTCAATAGCCACGGGAAACGCATCGTCGTCATTTTCATCCTTTGGATTAGTATCAGTTATTGAGCTTTGCTGATCACAATGACGGGGACGTCGCTCGAGGAGATTTTCCACTCGGCTTTGAACTTCCGGCACGAGTTCAAGTCCAGTCGTTTTCAGCGACACGAGCGATCCATCAGAAGGGTTGTCGCCATTGGATTCAACCACTTGACATCGTCGAGATGTTACGACCGCAACATCAAAAAGTCCGTGGAACACTCGACCAGCGTCGGAGCATGAGGCGTCTTTATACAGCGACCAGGAGATACTTTTAGTCGAGAATGCCATGGTGACAAGGTTCTGAAGGAATGGAGATTCGTCTCACTTTGGTAAAGTATGCATCTTGCTCATCAGTGGAGAGCTACGCAAACATAAATGCCACATCAATGCTGCGGCTACAGATAGTCGACTCTTCATCGAAAAAAAGATGTGATACATTTGACAGTACTATTGCTTGAGTGCGTACAACGAGAGGTAAGCGTCACACGACGCTAGGACTGAGACTTACGATGTACATTCGCTGATTGAAGAATGTGCTCAACATGAGCAGCTTGTGCAACTTGTTTCAACTGGAGACGCACTCGAGCGTATAGTTCACGTAGCTTGGCTGAGTCTGCACTACCCAACGATATACCGCAAAACACGTCAGACCTTCAGTGCCAACCCGTTAGGGTCTTGGACTCTTCAGTATAACACACGGATAACACCAACCACATTGTTGTCGCCTGAGTTTCTTCAGCATCATAGCCCGGGCTAGGATATCAATCAAGCTGCATAATTTGTCAATGTCGCGTCGGAAAACGTGAACAGCCATTTGATGCGTGGTACTGTTCATTCGGAATCAGCAGCATCTGCATAACTTGTTAACACGCTGCGCTGTTCGAGTGCTGTAACAGCAATGGAACTACTACTTTATGGCAGGAAGTGAGGAGACCTGTGTTCATGACTCTGAAGAAATGCCAGCAGCTTTTGACGTTGGCAAGATAATTGTGCGGATCGTATTTTAGTTAGCATCGAGAACAAGATGCGACGCTTTTGCAGTCAAATCACAAAGCAGCACTTGCTCTTCTGCCAGTGCGACTCCCCAGCTAACCGGACCTTTGGCACATTGACACTGCACGGTTTGTTAGATAGGTTGTGAAGCTTTATTTGTACAAAGTACCGATAGATGGGTCAAGCCGTGATGTAGACAAGGTGGCACTTGCACTTTACAGCCTCGTGATCGCCGCATACGTACCGCCTCATTGTGAATATCAAATCACCTGGAGCCACTCGGGAAAGAAGAGCACCGAGTATTGATAAACTGACATCGAAAAAGCGTCCCAGCAATTACTGTTTCTTGACATTACGACGGATGGACTCTTGTTGCAACAACACTATCTCATAACTTCTCCGACCAAGAACCACCACCGCAACACCTCAGCACTAAATCCGACAAGTGCGCTCACCTCATAACGGTGTCCATCCTTCACTCTTTTGCGGCGCAATTTACGCCATTGGGGCATCCGACGCTTGTTCGGGTTGTTGCTGTTGCTGTTGCTGCTGCTGCTTACCACTTTGGGCGGGCTCACCCGATTCCTTCAGCTCCTTTTTCTTCTGTTCCTGAGCCTTACCAAACGCTGTGCGGCTCCACAAGTTCTCAAAATCATCGGGCGTTCCCTGCGAGCAGATCGTCTTGTGTTCACCCTCATCGTTGGCGTTCTGACGGTTCCACACCGTCTTCAGACGTTTACCCGCCACCTCACGTTCGTGCTCTGCTTTCAGGCGTCCCGACGAATCTTCGTAGCGCCGACGCGTACTCACAACTTTGTTTCCTCCCTCATCCACAACAGACGAGCTGCTGAAGGAGTACGACGAGAAAGCACTCTGGTTTTCCGACTCGGGCGTCTGCTCCAACTTCTCGTCTTTCTTCTCCGACTGCTTCGTTGTAGGCAGATCCTTGAAAAACTCGTCGTCGGTGCCCACATCAGGCACGTAGCGCATACCCACCGACAATGGCGGCATCGCACTGATGTCCATCAAAGACAGCTCCAGTGTCGACATTGGGTGCCAAAACGTCGGGCGCACTAGATCCCACGAAGTAAACATCCTTCTCATTTACTGTTCGACTTGACTTCCACACAGGCAATTCACAACTGAGCTACGCTTGCATGTGGAAGTTATCGCTCACTTGCTGCCTTCAGTTAATAGGTAGCGGATAAGCGAAGCGACGGATGTTGATGGAGATGCAACTGAAAGCAGCGATACACCTTACACTCGCATTCGCAGCTTTCAAATCCAACGACTGCATCGAGATGCTGCGAAAAGGCAAGTTGAAGTGGTCATCATCGTTAGTATACTGGATGCTCAGTTGCAAACGATATCGTCTCGACTTAGCTGACGGTTAAAAGGCCCTTCGGCTCCGTTTCTACAGCATGTATCCGACCGTTAGGGTATACACGCTGATCACATTACGGGCGTATCTTAGTCCTAGCTCTCGTTTTGGGGTTGAGTGTTAACGTATAAGTGGCTATGTCTTGCTTTTGCAGCTTCGTCAACGAAGGAGTGCACAAATATCCCAAGCATGGCGTGTACGATATCAATGAGGATACCGCTGCTGCATCGGCACATCGAACTTCCTATTGATAATGAGATTGTCATGTGCCATAAATTGGTGGATTAGAAGCGACACAGTGCTCCATACAATGTGAAGGAGGATCGATACCTACGAGGTGTTGGGTCTTAAAAGTTCCTGATCATAAAACATGTATTTGCTCGATTCTGATTATTTGAGAAAATTTTACGGCTCTTGTATATTCCTTTCAAATCCGCAAATTGTGGCGACAAAACACCACATGGTACACAAATAAATCAAGTGTGCGTGAGTGCAGTGCATGTTGACGTGACGGACAGCAGTGACGGGCAGCAACACTTTATTCGCGTTGTTTCTGCGGAGGTTATCGCAGTTAAAACTTTTGCGAATACAATATCAAGGGTATTTTTTGGGATCGGTGGGCGTGACCTTTAGTGTGTATGTTGTAGCCAATCTACTGAAGTAGTCACAAAGTACGCATGTCCCAGTAAATCTGATCAGGTATTCACGAAAAAAGAAATGTACTACTCATTAAGTATTTGTGAAGACAGACTCAAATTTAATGCTGATAAAAAGAAGGACATTATCTTTGGTTTAATGTATGATGCATTCGACATGACAAAAGCTGATTTGTTTGTGTATGGATCAGAATCCATCGAGATCCAAAGGACGATCTTGAAACGCTACACGTGTCGCGCTTTGTGTATAGGATGGTCTGTACAAAACAGTGCCTTCGACCAACGATTCGAGCAAGATGCAAACGCATGGCCACGGATTAACGTGATCACTGACCACTAATCGATGATGTTATGGAGCATGTATCTATCTTAAATGTTATACTGACCGAGCGACACTGCAAGTTTGTGAACAAGAAGTATCGCGCACGCTTTAGGCTATACCACAGGCAGACCGTATGGTTTCTCCACTCCGCGCCTCAGGCATTATACACAGCAACAAATGCATCTTCCATTTATCATTTTAGAATTTAAAATAGTACTGCGTAGGGTGCATAAAGCTTAGGGTACATGTATGCGACTTCATTGTTCCAAGGATGCCTTCTTAATTTCAGCCGCCAAATTGCCCGACGAAGACTGACCACGAACACATCGTTGCTAGATCGCCACTGGCGTGCGTATACAAGGACGAGTAATGCAACCAGAGTGAGAGCGAAGATGTCGGTGCAAATCGAATCGGCATCCAAAAGATTTGCCTTGGATCACTGATCAACATGGTAGCAGGAGTCGTGAAGCTGATTAACAGCTTGTCCAACATAAAATTGCCACATATGTACTCGTAGGCGTCTTGGAATCGACAACACATTTTTTCAATACGTGCGCACGTTATTTGCATTCGGCTTCTTCTGCCTTGATATCAGGCCATTTCGTTTATGTACAAGTCCTCAACCATACTGTTTCACATCCAGTAAATTGATACCGACATTGTATGTGCGGAACTTAAACGTTCAAAGGTGACGTATGGATGTTGTCTCGAATGTTACAAAGTGGCCGTTCTCTGCCTACGCAAAACTCAAACAACCACCTGCAGATTCCATTCTGTAGCCTCGGTCATCGGTGTGGGACTTCCGTCGAGTCTAAGTGCACCTCGTGTGCGCGCCCGGATATAACACTACTTCGTTGCACGCACACCTGATCCTTATTGTCGTTAAGCGAAAGACAATAGCACTTACAACAGAACTGAACATGTGAAGCTCTGTGTAAAAAATTACTAACCATCCATCGCGTCGTCTCATTGATCCGTCCTTCACCCAGACTCAAGTCTCAGTCCGGCATTTGTTCTGTCCAAAATCTCAGCCCAACAAATCGCTAAACCTATCAAACAACATCACTCACGGCTTACCGCGACATCTGGAATCCCTGCCTTTGTTCTCTAAAATCGCAAACTCTCAGCTTTTCCATTGACAAGATCTTTCATCTTCACTCCGACTCAAAAATCCTCAGCGTCATATCTCCCCCGCCCCCTTCATCATCACATACTAAAAACATCCATGAGCGTCACCCAGGAGTCGGTCATTGCGCTGCGTCATCCATCCGGATCCTGCGCCGAGATCAATTTATACGGAGCAACTGTCACCTCGTTCTACGCAGCAAACGAGCCAGAACGTAACGTGCTCTTTGTGTCCAGACACGCAGTACTCGACGGTCGTAAACCTATCCGCGGTGGGATCCCACTCGTGTTCCCAGTTTTTGGAGCTGCTAAGGGGTTCCCGAACCACGGCTTTGCACGGAACTTCAAGTGGAAAGCGACTCAAGTCGAGCAGAGTGGGAGAAGTGATGACGAACATCCGAGTACCGCCACGTTTGTGCTCGAAAGTTCAGACGAAATCAAGGCCATGTACCCCTACGACGTCACGCTCGTGTACGACGTGAAACTGTTTGCGAATGAGCTCATCACGGCGCTCTCGGTCCAGAACAAGTCGGAGCAAGAGGTGACGTTTCACGCTCTCTTGCACACGTACTTGTCGGTCGACGACGTGCGTGAAGGACGCGTTCGGGTCGAAGGTCTGAAGGGACTTCGATATTTCGACAAGGTACTGGCTGAAGCTGGAGACAAGACGGAGCAGACAGACGCACTCACGGTGGAGCAAGAGACGGACCGCATCTATATGAACGCCCCCTCGTCTGTTGTCGTTCGGATGCAACGACTGGACGACAAGAAACAGCAGGTCGTCACGATTGACAAGATGGCGTGTCTCAAGAGCTCGTCGACGTCTGGCGATCTCGTGTCTCAAAAGGTTGATGTTGTCGTGTGGAACCCGTGGATTAACAAGGCCAAGAGCATGAGCGACTTTGGAGACGACGAGTATTCGACCATGCTCTGTGTTGAACCTGGCTGCGTGAGTGAGCAGCAGAAACTTCCGGGTGGACACACGTACATGCTACAGCAGAACATTCGACTCTCGGCCTTGTAGTCGGTCGTCTGAGCCCATGGATGGGTGACGTGAGACGGTGCGGGTGGAGAGGCCGCTAGGGTTGCACGCAGTCCAAAAGTACACACTCCGAGTCATCGTTGCTAAATGCAGCACTCTTGTTGCAATGTCTAGTCACTTGTCTCTCACTTCATTTGTTTCGCTATCGGTAATTTGCCTCGTGTGTGCCATGCATTGCAATGGCGTGCTGCGTACAAATCGTCTTTGCTGTAAACTAAAGTCGACGGTGCTTCTAGCTCATTTGAAGGTAGACCGCGTATGGTCATGAAAGCTCACTTGAAAAACGAGAACCTATTCGCATGTGCCCACTTCATGCCGTCCTATTTGCGTGTTGTATTCGCAACAACTGCATTTCTGAACTTATAAACCATGCAGCTTGGTCCAACCGATTCATGGGCTCAACCAAGTAAAGTGGATACGCTTAGCAGTGAAAAAATCTATCATCGTATCGATATTGCTTGGTGCTTTGGTCATCTGTCGCATGACCGCTAGGTATGCTTTGTAAGATGTCTGAGTGTAGCTGGAAGTGACGAGTAGAGGTTGATGTACAGGAATGGAGCTTACCGTAATCGCAAATGAATGAGTGAGTGAGAAGCCAAGCCGCTCGTTTGTGAAATCAGGAAGGTTGCATGGTCTGTCCTTTGTACTTCGCCTAAACATGGCATACCGTGGTAGGTAGACCTGCGTGAAAGTAGGTGAGCAAATTCAATCTGAAGCATGTACTACAGCGTGTGTATCCACAGTTTTTTGTGCTGTATGCGACTACACGAACTACACGCGCAATGCGTAGTCGGGATGTGCTATTATACTGATGGAATTATACACGTCAAGAACACCCAGTTCAAATTGCGATACGCTCAGTTTCGGGATCACGTGACGTTTGTGATCGAATTTCACCGCACAAAGTACAAATGGTACCGCATCTCTTACACTATTGTTCGTTCGATGCTCTTCAGATGATATCTGGACTCGACCATTACTCAATCTGCTGTTCATATGGAAAGTGGCTTGGAAGAAGTGGGTCTGTTTCCATTTGACGAGCCATACGATAGGAGAGCGAGCGGCGGAGCTTACAATTTGATACTCGTGACTCAGTCTAGAGAATGAAAGCTTTGTAAATTCATGTGCCCATGAGTGATTGGCGGGTAGGGAATGTGTAGTGCTGTGTGTGTTGACGAACAAAAGGGCTGGTGGATTGTTAAATGTAGTAGCTACCCTTTGATGTTGTTCATGGTTTAAACAGACAAAAATGATAAAGAGAGACGAATGCAGCTGACGACACATAATGTGGTCATGAAGGGCGATGCTATAGAATAACAAAGAGTGCTCGATTTGTCAATCCTTACAATGAACCTGGCAAGTTATTCCGTGTTATGTCAAATTAAGCAGCAGTTCAGACTTTTTGTTTTGTTTTTGCAGGTGCAGTGGGTACTTTTAGTTTTTCTAACGACCGACCTGCCGGCGGGGCCTACACATCCCCAACCAGATGGCCACTACTTACTGGAATCTCTGGGGGTCGGTCAGTCCAGGTCCCCCGACTATTCGATGTCGGAGGTTTGTGCTTCTACAAGCGGCCGAGCTCAGTGGTATCGGGGTTCCCGGAAGGTACAACTGCGACTTATGTGTCATGCATTATTTAACGACATTGGGCTGGTCGCAAGGGGGATCGAATCGGATCGGAACGGCGGGGCTTACACAAGGAACGAGGCGAACCCCTGCATTGCATTCTCTAGCCGTCAACTACGTGGATAAGTACGTGAACATACAAAACTTGAACCACTTAACCAAAGTGAACTACTCACATCAAGGGCTCCCCTATCTTTGACTCAATAAATGACTTATGACTAGAAATTGACCACCACACGTGTTACGTTGTCCAAGCAAATCGCTCACGTGTAACAAACTTTTATTTAATTAGTGACTTGTAGTTGACACAAGAACAGTCTTACAAATCGATCCCTGCCCTTTCTCTGTCATTTCCACTCTTTTTTTAACCTTGATGCAATTGCTTTATTACACCACCTTGTCGCTGAAATGGAAATTTCTTTGACCAAGACTTATCCAAAGGTCTGGTTCTTTAAGGGTCTTTGATCTTCTTTACATATAGTATGGTGCGCGTCACACGTCGCTCTACGACATCTCTTAACTTGAAATCGGGTATCATTGCTGTTGTAGCTAACGTATCTCCTGAAACTGCACTTGGCCCTTAAATTTGTGTTGGTTCAGAATCACTTTACTTATTGGTAACTCGCTATAAACTTCACGAGGCTAATTAAGCTGGTAATTTTTTCGTGACGTGTGACTCAATGTCAACGCACCCTTGCCTATTGACCACAGCATTACTTACGCTAGCCTTATAAAGAGCGCATCCTTATTGGTGTCTTGTGTAGAGCTATCGACTGAAGTGTTCTCTAGTCCATCAAAGGTTGGTGTTTTCCAACTAAGGAATGCCCAAAATTAAGTCATACGGACTCTCCATGCCTAGCACTGTGAACTTTTCTTCGCAAGAGAAGTCACGGAAATAGAAAGCAGATTCAATGTGAACTCCATCTAATCTCACTAGCGTACCGCTTGCAAGACGAATGGTTGCTTCTTTTCGCTATCTATCCTGGAAAAGCGCTTCATACATCGTCAAAATCTTATTCAGAGACGCGAGATTTGCAAAGCTCTGTGATGTACTCAAATCCACGAGAAGTATCATGATTACCTGTTCATAGCCTCACACTCGAGAGACAAAATCTATCATGTATGAGAACCATTTGTCTGGTACCTCGGGGACCATGCTACCTAATTTTTCAACAGCTCTGAACGCTATATTAGCTTAGAAATACGCGTCAATAGGCATCACAAACCTACTGCGACGCCACATCTCTCGGCCCATGGTTGGTCAATGTTCAAATATTAGCGTCTCGCTCGCTGGTTCTACGCACCATATTTGATCGGGAAATTTATTGCCAGACGCTTTCTCACTAGCGCTCACTTACATAGCAGCGAGCCATCACATGAAAGCGCTTGCCAATATTGTAGCATACAACATTCACTTTCTCCAATTCCATTGCAGTGACTGCAGACCTTTTAATTGTCAGCGTTTGACAAGGCGTTGCCAAATCACTGTCGTAGAATTTTTCTTCGACCCAAAATTTCAATGAGTTCTATGATTGTCGACGGCTTCGTTTTTAAAACAGTCTTTCGCGCTACTACATGTTGCATTCCATTTAGTAACGTAGGCATCATAAGCTGTTTCTGTAACGGACCCACGATAACAGACACCGACAGCTAGCGCACCTCCTGCTCATAGACTTGCAGAGATATATGCGCTATTCGCGAGCTAAAGAAGAGCGTCTAAAAACAAGTTGCTGTTTAGCGGCTGATATATGGCGCAAATCTTGTTATTAGAGATTTAACGCTATGAAACACTATACTGTTGGCCATAAGCACTAATTGATCCCGTCATTCTGCCTTATCCCGCATATGAGTTATTGCCTGCGATACCGTTCTGGCATCGTCCTCGATGATCTTCACCATACCACATTGCACACGGATAGAAGACGTTGTACAATAGTGCGGGCGGTAGTGCCATCAAATAATAGAGGGTCCATCCTAAAAGGTCTCAGCTGAATAGACCAGGCCGAGAGCGTCCCAACGGTTTCAAGACTGCTCGTGCAGAAGCTATTATGAGCATTACTGATGAACTCCGCCGATTCGTGGTTCCTGACTCGGACATAAAAATTCGCTGTCCGAGCACGAGCCTCCAAAACAATTCCAGTTAAGAAACGTCTTGCTCAGGAAGGCTACTCAACAAATTAGCCAGGGCTTGATAAACAGGTCCCTGATTCGTATGTTCAGCCACCTCTCTATGATGTTGATAGGAAGCTAGGAGATTGATCCCAATAAACATCGACACTCATTCTCACTGACACGCTTACAGAGAGAAATGTATCGAGAAGGACTACTAGTGCTACCAAGCGCAGGCGGGCGCTTGAAGATGTCACGAACCACCTTAAACTACACCTACAGGCACCTTCGAGAAGGCTTTTTTCGTCTTCTTTTGCGTGCAGCAAGGTTTGAATGTGAGGCTTACGACTGGATTTTAGATAGATGAACGCTCGTTGTAGGTGTGGCTAAGACGCGGTTTCCTATCCTCCAAAACATGTTACAATTAAGCTGCAAATGAGAGACAAATTTCGATATAATTAATCGAAAAGAAACCGAAATTATTAGTCTATAAGACAAAAGATTAGCCGCGCGCTCTGATGAGACGCCTTCTATGCAGCGCTCTAAACTGAATGCAAGCACGCTGCTGACGCACATCAATGACACCGTGTAATGACGTCAAGTAGTGACGTCATCCGCATGTATGACACATGATTTGCGGAAGGAACACATTGATGTACCCCAACGCATGAAGGTCTAAGTCCGTACCACAATTTAAACCTCTCTCAGAATTCCTGTGCCTTTACTCGTAAATTTGCTCTCAACGGTTCGACCCGTTTTTTCAGCTAGAAAAAAGTAATCAGCGTCAAGAAATGACGAATAGCAGGTCCATTTTAAAATATCTCTTGATGCTGATGGACTCTTACAGGTGTTTGCAATTTTTTTAGTAATTGTTGGTACAGATAGCTCACAGTTAGAGGGCCACAATTAAAGAACCAACACAGTTTTAAAACCGCATTTTACTAGACAAAAAACACCCGCACAAATTTTAAGTGTATTTTTTCTCTCGCACAGATATTGGACAAAAGAATGTAGTGACGTCCGCCACCCGTCCCATTCTCCCCACGCAAGGACAATTCGCAATTTACGAACACTTCCGCAGACAAATACGACGTACGAATGGCGCCACGATCGCACCTATTCTTCGTCCAGAAGAGAGCTCTACAGACACACCAGCGAGAGAACCCTGGACTTACGCAAGCCGATCTCTGTCGATGGGCGCTGGGAGAGTTAGGAGTCCGTGTTGCACGGTCCACAATCAGCAGAAT